CATCTACTAAGCCTAGATAGGAGGTTCTTAAGAAGCATTCATGCTAGCTACCTATTTATATATGCAATTTTTATAGTAAACATGTAGTTTAATTGGACAGTTGGAGGTACACAGATGTGCTTTGATTACTGAAAATTATGCCTTTATTCACTCAATGACTTCCCTGTTTGGTTTTTTGGTTTACAATAGAAAACGAAATCTCTCCAACTTTTCTCTCAAACCTCACATCTCTAAAACAGATGAGGGTCCTTTGTTGGGACATGATCTTCAGCTGTTAGCTTTCCAGAGGCTTACAATTTAACTACTTTTGTTAATGCTGTGATGCTGGGGTCTTGAATGCAGATGATACTTTTACATGTACATATTGTACTGTGAGAACTGTAGCAAAAGGTCTGTTTTTAAGGAGAATAATTCAGGCTTGGGAAACTTCATGCAAAGCTGGAAAATCATGTTGGCTTTTTTTTTTCTTTTTATATGTTTAAGTTACCATTTAAATTTGAAGTATGTGAAGTCTGAATTGCCAGCTTTTTTCGGAGGTTAAGTTCTGGTTTATTTACACGGGTAATTTATAGGCTAACTGATTTCCCACAGACCATCTTGCTAAAAATATTTTTGTTATACTTTTGTGGGCTGTGAGGCTAGTGGATGAAAAATGTTTATTTGGGTTTCATTTTACACCCTTTGTAGTTATTTTTAATGAAAAGTTTGGCTCCAAAGCATTTGGAAGAACTGTAGATAATCACCAAATGAATTTTTACATTTTGAAAGTTCCTTATCTTTTTGTTGTGATTGTGCCGCAATTATTAAGGTTTTTGTATCAGTTTCAGTAAATGGTCTTCTGGTACTCAGTGTTTGATCTCAGATGCTTGAGTTTGAACTTGCACATCTGAATTTGATAAAAAAAAAGCCATTTTCTGAGAGCATGAAGTTAGTTATGCTTAAAAGCATAAAGTCTGTAGAAGTATCAGTACAGTAAGACCCCTATGAAAACTGATGATTGTGTGGGTGAGAGCAGAATTTAGATACTGTTTAATTCAGAACAGTGTTTGACTTCTAACTTCAACAGATCTGATGAGGTATATTTTAATGGTGTTTAAGCTGCTATGAAAACTTTGAGTCTGTGTACTTAATTTTCACTAGAGCTGGGCATGTTCACCCAAAGGGTGAAAGAAGCCTTGAAAGTGCAGAGTCTTGTGTCATAAAGAAGGGCGAAGGTGGTGATAACAGATTTATCGGTGCTTGTTTTGTGATACTTTTTTGTTCAAGTTGGAACTCATCACATTCACCAGCTGTTTCAGACTTAACAAAATCTGCAGAATTTACCCTAACAGACGACTCTAAAGATGATTATCAGTATGAAGAGGTAATTTACTAAATGGATAATCTTCTGATATATGTTTATTTTACTTCATCAGCCACAAAAACATCCTAGGAGAAATGACATGAAACTCTTTTTTGTAAAGTGTGATGATGTTAGGCATCTCTTTATTTTTCAAGAGAAGATTTAGTGTAGTTGATTTGTTATGTTTCACTTTTATTTTTATGTTAAATACTTTTTTGAAGACACAGGTATTTCTATTTAGATATTTCAGTTTAAAATAAATATTTCGGTAATATAAATTCTCTTTAAATATGGCAAAATATTATTTTAACAAGAACGAGATTATTTTCAATAGTTTTCTTGGGAGTGGAAAGATGTATAAAATATGTTGATACCTAGCTTTAAATCATTTCATTTAGGTTCCAGAAGATGATGAATTTAGTCTTCAGGAAGATGATGAGGATCTGACGAAGGCTTTGCAGACTATTCAAGAGCAGGCTGAAGATGCCCAAATTTTAGTAAGAACCTCCTAAACATTCTAAGACTTTGTAGTTCAATTGGCATTAGTGGCTTAAAATTTGCACATTGTAATTTACTTTAATTATGAAATGTTTGTGTGCAAAAGATTGTCTCTTATTTTTTTAGAACTTTCTAGGGGTAAACATGCTACAGTGGAAAAGGCAACTTGTGTTTCCTGGGTTTCATCTTCCTTCAACTTTTTTTCGTTTTATGTTCCATAAACAACCTGATATTGCAAATACATGTAAGAAAGATTATTTAAAACGTATTAATGTTATGAAAACACATCAGTATTTTAGGGTTTGTTTCTTTATCTGAGTAGATTGAATGAGAGTGTGATCCCTAACACAGGAAAGACACTGCATATGCTTAAGACCCCCAGAAGCTTGTACTCTGCTAAAAAACATTATAGATAGTGTGGTTTGAGTTAAAACGGAACCAATTTTCTGTTCAGTAATTTTAATTTTCAGCTAAGGCTCTTCTAACTAACTGAACTCTCTGAAATTAACAGCATAATGTGGAGACACTGTTCTCTCTCTGAGAGCTAGGACCTGATTATTTATAATTAGGCCAAGGAATGGTATGCAGAGAGGCTCTTGCTTATACTTAATGCTGTAACAACCAAGGCCGGCTAATTTTGTGATACACCCCGTTGGAGGGTCGGAAGCAGAAAAGCATAGAGGAGTGGCACCTGCAGGGAGGAGGGGACAGGAGAAGTGACCCAAAAGTGGCCAGCAGGGTGTTCGATCCCATCTGCATCATGCTCAGTATAAAAGCTGAGGGATCAAAGGGTCCACCTCTCTTTCTTTAGTGGTGACCACCTGAGGAGGACTCCGTCTGTTCATCTGCCTTGGGGAGACCATTTGCTGTTCACTTCAGTGGCCGGGCTTGCCCAAACCAGGACAGATGTATTGAAAAACCAAGAATAGGCTGTTACACTATGTTAAATCAAAATATTAATGAAATGATCAATAATTTCACACCATTAGTTTTTGACACTTCTTACAGTTTGATTTCAAAACAGCCATGTAATAGAGTTACACAATAGCGTTGTTATGTTGCATTTTCCAAAATACGATTTACCTGAATTTACTTGCTTATAACAATCTAATGGAAAAGTGTTTGTCCCTGCTGTGTTTCTAATATTGCCATTATCTTATGGCCTCATCAGTAAGCTCTCATCATAGTCTTTGGTTTGCAAAAGCAAATGATTAAGAATGAAATGATATAACTATGTGAATCATTCTTAACATCAAAATGGAGGAAAAATGTGCATTTTTCTAGTTCATATCAACAGACCAGTTTTGTATTTTAGATCAAACTTTGAATGAAGACTGACAATACTGGAGTCTTCTGTGTTTAGAAACTGAATATACCTGAAAATGAAGAGAAAGGTAGCATAAGATTTTAAGACTGAACATACTTGATGCTAACCAAGTAGTGGAAATTCTGAATATTCTTTAGGGATACCCAAGTTATGTCTGTTTTACTGTGTGAGTTGACATTCGAATAAAGTGAAACAAGGAAGGATATTCTTAATCTATTGATCTTTTGACAGTGCTGTAATTAAGTAACCTTTTGCCTCTTTGTTGATTGAACTTTGACTGGTAGGAAACTCAGATTCTCTTGGATTTTGTTCTTATGCTAATAGATATCTGCCTTCTTGCTTCTTGACTCATTATTTGGAGGCTTCATATTTTTCCATAATTTTGAAATGGAAATAATATTTTCAGTCTTTAGACAGAAAGACATGAATAGAAGATGTTTTAATACACTTGATAGTTCCTTGACAGCTTTCGTAACAATTTACTGTATATTTTGTGAGGCTCAGTTGACTAGATTGTTTGATGCTAATTCACTGGAAAAACCAAGTGCTGCAGTGGATGCTTTGAATGACCCAAGTTAGAAGCATTGTTTCCTGTGAATTAATATTGAATCAGTATCCAAACTCTGAGGGAAGAAGCATAGTAAAAGTCAGTCTTCAAGTGAAAAATAATTGCTACGCTTTTTCAATTTTTAGTTTCTAATCTTGGCTAAAATGGGTTAAATTAGGTAACAGCCTTATCCTGGAATAGCTAATCTGTGATAGAGTTTTAAGTGATTGTGCATATTTGCTGGTCATAGTAACTTGTATACCTAATCCCATATTAAAGATTGCATTTCAATACAAGATGCAAATCTGTTTGTTAAAGGAAAGAAATTATTTAGAGAAGGCACATATAAAGTGAGCGTACAAAAATATTTAAGTGGTTCGCCAAATGCAGATACTATAAATATCCACAGTTTCTAAACTGAGTAACTACAGTGTCTTTTACGCTCTGTTAAAAAGGTCAAGTATAACGAGGAAAATCTAAGAAAAATACTTATTTTCAAACTTACTTCCAAAGTAATTAACACTAATTACTAAATGAAGAAGAGCAAACATAAGCAAAAGAGATATGGTGCTATGCACCTTAAAAAAAAGGGATATTGAGACATGTTTGCTTTCCTTCTGGACCTCTGCATGCAGTGAAACTACTGGTCTTTAAGGAGCTGGGTGAGGCTCCTTCAACAGTTACAATTCATGTTTTTGTTTGGATCCCAACAGGGAAATGAGGGTGATGGAGCTCTAATTTCTAAATATCGTTTCCCGTAGTCTGGTGGTGAAATGGCAGCTGATTGAAAATACAGCTGTGCTGGGCAACACGTGCTTTGGATAGCAGTGATTCTGCTGGCAGTTCCCATTCTAGTCATCATCTGTCCTTTCATGGACATGATTTTTTTTTTCCCGTTGTCCTTGTTTTGAGACAGTGTAAAGTATCATAAAGTATTTTAAAACAATAGAATATTTTGCATTTAAAATAAAAAATTCAGCTGATAAGGATCCTAGGAAAAGGATACAGAACTTCTGGAAAACCACGCACAAAAGAAAGCTGCCTGAATTACTTTCTTGAGTAGTTACAGCTATTACACTTCAATTTCAAGATCTTAATTTTCTTAATATCCCAAATGATAATCTGAAGTCACATTGCCCTTTATTAACCTTATATTTTATCACAAAAGAAAGCTGCCTGAATTACTTTCTTTAGCAGTTACAGCTATTACACTTCAATTTCAATATATTAATTTTCTTAATATCCCTAATGATAATCTGAAGTCACATGCCTTTTATTAACCTTATATTTTAGGTAGATCTGATTTGTTTGACTATGTTAAAAATCTTTGAATTACCTCTTTATTTTTTGTTAGTTCAACAAGTTTTGCAAGAACATCTCATTTTGTTTTCCAGAGAAATTATTATTTGGTGTTAATCTACAATATCTCAACCAAGAACATCTCATTTTGTTTTCCAGAGAAAATATTAATTTATTTGGTGTTAATTTACAATATCGCAAAAATTTCTGTGCAAGGAAGAAAGAAGTCCTTAAATTTATGGTTGTAGCAGTTAACTTACTTTCCTGACCATATTTGCCACCCTTAGACTTAAATTTTTTGAAGATTTTAATTCAAAAAACTTAACCAAGATATATTTAACAAAGCAAGTATTTAGCTTGTTTATTTTGACTTAATGCTCAGAATCCTTTAATAAGATGTTGTCTATATAGCTACTATAGGGTGTCTGTACTGCATCAATTAGTAGATTGTATCTTGCTCATTTCTAAATAGGTAACTATATACAAAAAATTACTGTTAGTGCCATTCTGTGGGTAGTCATCCAAGGTTAAGATGAAGTTAAAGAAAGTGGTCAGCCTAAAGACTCACAAAGTCTTCAGGAGAGCTGGGAATTTAATTGTGGTTTCCTGAGGCCCTGTTCCAGTACCTTGCCTGTTAGACTGCATTCATTTTTCCCTATATTGTTCCCTGCTCGGGCGTCAGTTCCTGAAATGATTCTCAGTGCTAGTATCTAGCTAATAAATTCTCCTCTGCACGGATGACATGAATTCCTATCATATTTCCATTTATTAAGGGAATCAAACAGTGTCATTTCTTCCGAAGAGTGCCTTTATAGATGTGTTTGGGAAGCTACAAGCAACAATATTAGACATTTGCCTCACTTAGAATAAAGAAAGAAAAGAAGCAAGAAAAGGGATGCAGCTGCATGTCTACAGATGAGCTCTCTTTGGTTCTTGTCTTACCACAATTAGAAAATAGACCTGTCTGATGCACTGTATCTCTGGTAATGAAAATATGCTAAATATTACATTGCATTTGGCATATTGTATTATTTATAATAGAGCGTTACATGGCCTTGATGGTACATGTACATTTCTTTCTGTTTATATTAGGTAGGTTGCTTGGATTGAACACAACATTTTCTGTATTATACAAAATGGCTATGAGCTTTTCCTGCTGTTTTTATTTTATCAAGAGAAATGCCTTTGTGTCCAGGTAACGTATGCAGTCATGTTAATAGAGCTCCCACTAAGGACGTGAATAAGCCATAAATGGATGGAGTTATCAAAAATCCCTGGCCTGCAGATTCTTTTTTTTAAATGGATAGAAAAAATAATTTGCAGTCACAGCCTTTAGCGTGTCTTGATGAATATCTCACTGGAATGTTTTTTTCAGTTTCCTTAGTATTGAAATGAAAAGAAGGTAGGCATCTGTGGAAGCTGTTTCTACTTCTCATCAGTTCACTACACTGGTATTTTATTATTATTTTTAATATGTAGCGCATGTTATCATAGAATCTGAGTTTCTTTCAAGTGATGGTTGTCAAGCTCAGATTTTTTCTGTCATGCTTTCACCAGGAGGCAGGCGTGTGTAGTGCAGTATCTGTCTTAGTAGCCTGTGTTGTTAAGGATATTGTAGCATTGTGCCCTGTGTGGAGTTTCCAGATGCTGAGAGCTTCACATTTAGATATGTCAAGTCACTGTAATCCATTTGAAGTCTGAATGAATTAAGGCCATTTCTTTGGCTGCCAAGTTGCAGTAGTCTCTCTCATGTGGTTATCTTTAAATGTATTTTGCCAGGGGAGGGGTGGATAGTCACAGACTGGGTTATATTTTATTTTATTCATCGTCCCTGCATCTTGAAATCTCTCTCGGGGAGCTTAATATCAAGCTATGCTCTGAGTGGGCTGGATGGGATTGGGTGAAGGAAAAAAATTTGCATTGCAACAAAAAGCTGTGAAAGGGATTTTTTTTTTTTTCTCTCTCTCTCTGTAGTATGATTGCTCTGTTTTGTTTTGATTCTGCTTTTGGCAACTGTGCTTGACCCATGAGCTGATCTTATCTGAATAGCTGTCTATCTTTGATGGCACTGGAGGAGCTGCAATATGAAGCCTTGTTGCACCATCTGCATTGTGCTAACGCTTGTAGCAATGTTGTCTGGCAGCTTGGTTCAGTGTCTGCATATGGATGTTGAGGAGAAGAGGTAGAATTGATCTTTGTGAGACTTCGTAAGAGATGTAATGATGGAGATGCAGTTCTTTCAGTCTCTCCATTGCATGCATCATTACAAAAAGAACATAAGGCATTTTTCTACCACCTTGGACTTAAGCATTTTTCATTAGATAAAGTACTGATTTTTCTTATCAGTAGTGCTGAAGGGTGCAGGAGTATGAGAACTAATATTTTCTCTCTGGTCAGAGATACAAGATAGTCAATCAGCTGAAATAGTTTCAAGTCCATGTAAGAGTATGTCAGGTTCAGAATACTTGCTTCAATCAGGTGATTTTTGAGTTAATTCTCTGTAACCTTTCATGGATCTTGACATGAGAAGGATCAGTGCTTACAGGTGTGATCAATAAAGACAAGGGAAACATTCAGCTGTACTCCAGTAGATGTGTGACTTCAGATGACCTCAGGAATAGAAGGTAACATAATTACTTTTCTCTTACAGGTTTAATAACAATTATCAAATTTTAATTTCAGGCTTTGCAATCAGTTCTGACTTCTGAGAAATCAGTGTCTGAAACACCTGAAACGATGGATGACTTCTTCTGCAATTTCCTGGTCAGATTGGGAATGTCCAGAACCCTTGACTGCTTCCAAACTGAATGGTAAAATACTTTAAGTGACCGTCTTACTTTGAGAATTGGGAAGTAGATGCTCAGGATTCAAATATTTACAGGATTTCAGGATATATTTCCAGAAAACTCTTCTGAGTACAAATTGTTCTTAAGTACACGGTGTTTTACCAAATAAATATATTCATGTTGAGAACAAGGACACAAACTGTTGTTTTAAGGACAGACTTTCAAGAAAGCTGACTCCAGGGAGCTCCTAAATGGGTACCTTTGAAGCACTGTATGCATTTCACCTAACTCTAGACATTTACGAGCCTGAAGTGATCACGTTAGGCTGCTTCTGTGACCAGTGAAGAGAAACGCTCATTTTCAGGATGCAGCTCACCTGAGTTGTTTAAGCCATCTCCTTTAAGACAAAATGAACTCAATTAGGGTTTTTTCAAGTATATTCCTCTCTCCACTGACTACCAATGAAAACTAGAAACCAGCTACACTGAAGAAGTCATCAATGGATCAAATGAGTCCAATGAAAAATGATCAGCATTTCATTTCAGCAGTGCAGTGCTTAGAAACCATGTGGGTTTGTTATATTTTTGCTTTCCAGAATGTGGATGCCTGCATAAAAACTGAATATTTTGTAGTATGCTATAGTATTTGCACCTTGATTGTTTGGGCAGGTTTGGGTGTTCTTCGTAGCTGCCTTGTATTTTAAGTAGACTAATCAAAATTTTTGGTGCTTGTTGATTTTTGGTACAGCAATCAAAGTAGTATGATAGGTTTGGTGTTTTCTTTTCAAAATTTAATTCATATAGTAATCAGAAGTGTGAACTCTTGAGCTGTTGCTCTCTTCTTTTTCACGTCTTTTATAGGTTGTAGGGATTTTGTCCAGACTTTGTGCAAAAGTTTAAACATGCAGCTTTGTCTAAATGCTCCACTTCCTCAGCCACTCTCTTCATATATGGAATCCCCCAGGATATATACTTTTGTTGAGTATTAATTAAGAATTATGTGCCAGGAATGCTACAAAGCTTGAGAGGAGAGCTGAATTATTTTGGAGCAAAAGATGATGCTTGTCTTGAAGTTCTATTAAAACACTTTCAGTTACAAGCTTGCTTTAAATCTACAAATTACATTGGGAAGATTCTGAGAAGTGGAAACACCTCTCTTTGAATTACCTTGTAGACAGTCTTTAAACATGAGCCATTCAGAGATTTTTTTAATAAGGTCTTTTGAAATTGTTTAATCTGAAAATGAGTAAATTTGAAAAGTTAGAAACATCTTATTTTTTCCCCACAAAAGCCTTGAAGCTTTTAAATTTTCTCAGAAATGCTCACTAATGGGGGATGATTGCTGTCATTTGCAAGGCTGTGGTCTTACTAGTATAGAGCTCACTAGTCAGGCATTGCTTTTGGAATTAATAATGATCTGGTTTTTGATAGCGTAACTGTAACTTAAATGGTTCCTTAGAGAAGTAGCACTATAGTTCTGTATTGTTTTTGAACAAAAGAACTGATATGAATAGTATTAAGTTTGAAGAAGTTTAACAGTTTTTATGGAAAAGGATAATTAATGCTAGACAGATATAAATAGTGACCTTTTTATGAAACTACAGCTTTCTTTGAAGCACTTAGAGTTCGAATTTATATCAGTGGCAAAATTCAGATTGCTTTTTAACAGAGCTAGAGCAGGTTTTAGCAGGCCTTATCTTGTAAATCCTTAGCTGTGCATATATTTTGATATGAATAGTATTAAGTTTGAAGAAGTTTAACAGTTTTTATGGAAAAAGATAATTAATGCTAGACAGATATAAATAGTGACCTTTTTATGAAACTACAGCTTTCTTTGAAGCACTTAGAGTTCGAATTTATATCAGTGGCAAAATTCAGATTGCTTTTTAACAGAGCTAGAGCAGGTCTTAGCAGGCCTTATCTTGTAAATCCTTAGCTGTACATATATTTTTTTTCCTAAGTAATAATTTTAATTCCAGTAGCATTACAAATGAGCTCAGCATGTCAGGATCTAATCTTACTGTATTGAGACTTTTTCTGCATTAATACCTTATTTCAAAATGTTTCATGTTGGTTTGAAATAGATAATTTACAATATTAATGACAGTGAGAGCAGATTAGTGTACTCAGGTTCCTCATTATGTATTGGGACGGTGCTCTTACTCTCATGCTGTGGTGATCAAGTACTAATGGAATTTAAAATGAAAAATTAATTAACGTAGAGAAAATTTATCAAAAGGCTTGCTTTGAAATAATTGTCTGTCTGAGATCTAAAGGTCACTTAATTTGGACCAAATTATCTGTTTATTTCAGAGTTTGAGAAAACATTCTGTTATTCTCTCCAGCTTTATAAAATGTCAGGATGTGATTATGTTTTATTTTAAGCCAAACCCCCTCTTTTTCTTTGATGTAAGGAATAATTTTATCACACTTGTAGTGATTTTGTACATACACTTTTTTCCTTCAATTATACTTTAAGAAAACTTAAAATTGGACTTAAATGATTTTTAGAATATCTTATTTACCCATTAAATTTTCTATTCCTTTGATATAAAGGACTTTATAGTTCTCTTGTTGCTTATTGAAGATAGTGGATTGACAGCTTGAGAGCGTGAAGTGCAAGGGCTGATCAACTGTAAATTCATGCATCTGACAGTCTATACCTCCTAATCCCAAAGAGCTCCCTGCTTCTGGCAGCATGTTGCCAGTCTGATGAGCAGATGAATCATTTGCTGTTCACACATATGCACGGAGCTATGGCTGTGATTAGTACACTCATTGGGCTGGTAATCTCTGACTAAATGTTCCTAGAGACCTGGCAGGGGTTCAGCATGTGAGTAAAAGAAGAGCTGCAGACTAATTATGGAAACATGAATTGAAAATTCTTTTCTTTTTGATGTGGCTAAAACTATGAATAAACTTACATGATGAAACAAGGTTAAAAGCCAAGTCTGTCTTGTGTACGCCTTGAAAAGATTGCTTGGGTTGTGCATAACAGAGCACATGCAACAAAACTACTATATTTTCTTTGAGGGCAAATGTAGAATTATTGCAAAAAAAATCTTTTTGGCAGAATGGAGAAAATGGATATAGGTGGTAATCCTCCATGTCACAACTCCCTGAAGACAGTGGAAACAGTCTGTTTATTTCACACAGACCTGTTTCCTCTGCTCTCTGTTCTCTTTGGCCTGGAAGTCATGTGGTCACATTAATGTCTCTTGTGCTCTAAATTCATAAATCCCGAGAGAAACAAGGGCAGTGTAACACAAAACCAGATACAGTTGATGTAGTGTGGTCACATTAATGTCTCTTGTGCTCTAAGTTCAGAAATCCTGAGAGAAACAAGGTCAGTGTAACACAAAATCAGATAGTATCAGAACTAGCTCAGAACACAAGTGAAGTAACCTCAAGTTTGATTTGCAAAAAGCCACATGGATGTACCTACTTTCTTGCCTACAGAACAAGCATAACACAGTAATATAAATTTTCTACTTATATACCATAACAGAGGAGGAGTATGCTAGGGAGAAAAGGTGATTTACTTCTCTGTGCTCATTTCTTTTTTAGCCTTCTGTTGAAACTGTTTAAGAGGTTATCAATTGGAATTATAATTTTCAGTAAGAAGTTCTTGTAAAAGCTAAAAGTTGATATTTTAGTCCCTGAATGCATCTCTAGGTGAGTTACCGCTTGGTAAAGGATTATCCTGAGCTACATAGTAGTTTATTCCAGGGCCTCTCCGCAGCTGATTCCTTTAAAACTTTTACAAAGTTGATTTCAATGTGATGCATATAGTAATAATGTATTCTTTTTAGTCAGTCTGCACTGGGCTTTGATCATAAAATCGTAGTTGACCATCTGTTCCTTAGGTTTCCAGATTCTTGGTTAATTTTAAATAGTGATTCAAGAATAATAACTTGATTCTTCTGAAAGGCTTCGCTTGTGTGTGCATGGAACTAACTAATTTGCATCACAGTTCTCTGATGGAAAGAAGTGAGAACAATAGCTATTTGGCAGTTGGTTAGGGATGTAGAAGTTCTATAAGTTTTACAGGACTAGGGTGATGAGAGATAATGAAAGTTCACAATGGAATTTTGTTGTCTGGTTTTCTATTCCATTTCTATTACATGCACAAAAGCCTTCATTTTAAGTAGTTTTCTTAGACAAGGGTATAGTGAATTTATTGGTATTAATTGTATTTCGTTAAAATTGTCTTTCAGAGTTGTTAGCTCTGCTGGAGGCTAATTTCATCAATTATCCATGTTTGATGTGTCTTCGTGCAGAAATTTGATGGGTTTCATGAGGTGCAGTTAGGGGACTCAGTGGAGAATGTTTTCTGGCAAGTAGAGGAGCTTGTAGAATTGTGATCATTTGCAAGGAAAAGTGCCCTTATTTTCCATATTTCCAATAGGAATAGGACCTGATCATCAGTCAGTGTTTATTTGAAGTAAGAAAAAAAACAAAGAGGGAAAAAAAAAAGAAAGACAGAAGAAAATTACTAAGCTTCTCAGTCAGTGTTTATTTGAAGTAAGAAAAAAAATTAGAAAAAAAAAAAAGAAAATTACTAAGCTTCTTCCTTACTATTAAAGCCTGTTGGTGCTGTAATTTGCTTAAGAGAATGAAGTGATGATTGGATTAATTTTGCTTTGGATGTGTTCATTTAACTTTTCAAAAACCTTTCATTTACTGGTGGTGAATGTGTGACAGCTTAATTCATAGGTAAGAGCATTTCTAGAGGTATCCACAGACTGCAGGTAAGTAGCTGAGCGTAGGAGGTCATTTGGACATAGGTTTCGAACGCTCCCTTCAATTTTTTGGAGGGTGTTAAGTAAAAATTGCTTGTCAAGTAAGAATACCTTCTTCTATAAACACTTTTTGTTTCTGCAGCACGCTTTATCAATCTAGGAATGCTGTGCTTACTGTCTTCAAGTTTCAAATCTGCTGCTTGTGTCCAACTGCAGGAGATAGCATTTAGTATAATTTTTATCTCAAGCTGTTCTTTTCATAGTTCCTTCATTAATCGGGGGAAAAAAAATAGTACAAATTCAATATATTTTTCCCTGGAAAAGGCAAATAATGTTCATATTATTCTTTCTAGTGTGTTCCCATCTGGAACATCTTCCAGCTGCAGGGAAGAATGTGAGCCTGTAGTCTTTGTCTGATATAAATTACTTAAAGCTCCATTGAACTTCTGCTGAACTGATATCATGGCTCCAATTGTCCACAATGTCTTTAGTAGGTCTGTAAAAGTTGACACCAACTGAAGGTCTTTTGGGATAAATAGGTGTTTGTGCAAACATGTACTGGATTCTGGAATCACCTCTATGATGTCTACTTGCGCGGAAGTATCTCACACTCGTGTATGTAGACTTGAATCCTGATGTCTCTGGAAATAGTTTAGAAAATACTGATAGCTTATTCCTGGAGCAAGCATGATTATGCAAAAGCATTTGTCTTCTGGTCGTTTTTTTTTTTGATCAAATTTAGCTTTTCTGAATCGGTTCTAATATCACCACTCTTTTTTTTTTTTTTTAATTTTTTTTTTTAAATGTAGCATATACTTAGGTACTTTAAGTTGCTCTGTATTGAAATGCCTTTAAATTAAGCCTAAAATGAATAGCGCCAATACCTTTGTCTTTTTTATTGCCTGTTAGAGTGTTCTTAGCCTTCACTGACAACCTACCAAAAGGTGGATAGTCCTAAAAGATATGAGACTGACTGAGTAGACTTCATTTCTCAGAGCTATTGAGATGCCTAGGTTGCTACACAGCATTAATGCTGCTCCAGATTCCCTTTTACTTCACAAAATACACGTTAGCCTGTGCGCTAATTTACCTAAAGCACCCTTCAGGCTTTTATAACATGGAATCCTGTTTTCTCAGAGGCTGGTAAAATAAGTAAATATTGGTTAATATAATGAAATAAGGAGAGGGCAACATAAGTAAACAGGAAGGAATGAAGACATTTCCCTAGGTGAGCTCTGTATTCCATGTTGAAGATAGCTCATAGTATTATCCATCCAGGTTATCCAGAGCTGTGTCATCTTATTTGAGTCCTCCAAAAAAAAAATATATTAAAAAATCTTGCATATATTTGAGCATCTGAGATTATAAGTACTGTGAGTATATACGAATGTCATTTGAACAAGAATATTTTTATGTGCCTTTTACTTAAGCTTTTATTTAGGCTATTTGGAAGAAAGGAAGGAAAAGAACAATTGTTTAAATTGAAGTACTGTGTTACACAGGACATGTCTTTTGACTTCTGAAAAATAATACATTTTAGAATGAAAAGCAGTAAAATAGAACACAGTGCGGTAGGATAGTACTTGTTACTAATTGTTAATGAGATTATAAATATCTTTGTGATTCTAGTTTAGGTAAATGTTAGCATGAGAAGGGAGACATCAGTGAAGTGAGAAAAAGGAAACTGGAATAAAATCTCTCCCCCTTTATTTTCTACTAGGTATGAATTCATAGAGAGAGGTGTGTTCACAGTCAAAGATGCTGGATTGGTTCCCGCTGCGTACACCTGCAACCAGCAACTTGAAGCTGAGAATATGCGTTTGAGGAAAGATTTGGAAAACTATAAACTTGCTGCAAAGTATGTTATTTGGTTTTAATGAAACTTTGATATACGGTAGTAAATGGCCAGATAAAGTAAACCCAAGTACTTAATGGAAATAAGAAGTTCCTGTTTGTTATGTTAGCTGGGCATATTTTTGCTTCTAGGTGACATTTGTAGTTAAAGTTTAATTTTCTCTGAGCTCTATTAGAAACCTAAATCTTAATTTCTTTTATTTGTATTTACTAGGCTATAGAAAGTAATTTTCAATACCCAGTAATCACAACAAATTACTGTGAAGAATCATGAGAGTATAATATGTAGAACTAGAAAATAAATGGTTATGTGCATTTTGTATTAAAACACAATACTATAAATTACAGCTACCACAAACATCACCATAGGAACAAAATCAGTATATATTTATTCTTCTTTTTTTTTTTAATTGCAAAAAATCTGTTAGTTTGGCCTTACTGTTAAGTGGTATTTCAGCCTAAATGACCATAATTGATTATACTGGTGTGTACATTGTAGTAGCTGATTTTACAAGTCAGTTGTACTTTTGTCATAAGGGAGTTAAAATATTTAGCCTCTATAATGGAGAGATGCAATAATGAACTACATGTAACGTAGCCTTTTCTGAAGCATGGTACATCTGCATATGTATGTGTTGAGAATTTACCCTGAGACCTAATAATCCACTCACTTGGATTCTGCCAGTGCAGTTTTAAAATATGGAGCTGTAGTAAAATATTAACTCCGTCTCTTTGATTTTCCTCAAGATCGCTCAAGCTATTAATTTTCATTTAGATTGTTCCTTTATATGAAAAAATAACTACTCGGATCGTAATCGTTGCTGCTGATAATAGTGATAATTAAATTATTTTCCAATGATAATGATGTATCACATTTTAAATTAATAAATTAATTGCCCATACTCTAATAGTTAAGTAAACAGCTGATAATAGTGATAATTAAATTATTTTCCAATGATAATGATGTATCACATTTTAAATTAATAAATTAATTGCCCATACTCTAATATATATCTAATATATTAATGATCAAATCAAATATTGTGTAGTCTAAATATACTCTTGCACTGGAAGATGGGCCCTATAGAAAACAGCCCTTTTAATCTGCGGTTTCTGTGGACAATGGATGGTTAGGGATTGTTTCTCTCATTTGAGTGGGACAGTAAGAAGCAGTAAGGCATGGTGAAAGAAGGAAAGACAAAATCTGGCCCTTCTGAAATTTATTCTTGTCAGTAGTAATTTTAACAGGCTTTCCTTGTTGGTTTTTCCCCCCACCTTTTTTCTTTCCTTTTTTTCCCCCTGTATGAAGCAGAACATGCTATAACAAGATAATCTGACTGGATTGTGACTTGTTAATGGCTTCCCTGGGTTTGTTGCATTGCACAAAATACACGTTAGCCTGTGCGCTAATTTACCTAAAGCACCCTTCAGGCTTTTATAACATGGAATCCTGTTTTCTCAGAGGCTGGTAAAATAAGTAAATATTGGTTAATATAATGAAATAAGGAGAGGGCAACATAAGTAAACAGGAAGGAATGAAGACATTTCCCTAGGTGAGCTCTGTATTCCATGTTGAAGATAGCTCATAGTATTATCCATCCAGGTTATCCAGAGCTGTGTCATCTTATTTGAGTCCTCCAAAAAAAAAAATATTAAAAAATCTTGCATATATTTGAGCATCTGAGATTATAAGTACTGTGAGTATATACGAATGTCATTTGAACAAGAATATTTTTATGTGTCTTTTACTTAAGCTTTTATTTAGGCTATTTGGAAGAAAGGAAGGAAAAGAACAATTGTTTAAATTGAAGTACTGTGTTACACAGGACATGTCTTTTGACTTCTGAAAAATAATACATTTTAGAATGAAAAGCAGTAAAATAGAACACAGTGCGGTAGGATAGTACTTGTTACTAATTGTTAATGAGATTATAAATATCTTTGTGATTCTAGTTTAGGTAAATGTTAGCATGAGAAGGGAGACATCAGTGAAGTGAGAAAAAGGAAACTGGAATAAAATCTCTCTCCCTTTATTTTCTACTAGGTATGAATTCATAGAGAGAGGTGTGTTCACAGTCAAAGATGCTGGATTGGTTCCCGCTGCGTACACCTGCAACCAGCAACTTGAAGCTGAGAATATGCGTTTGAGGAAAGATTTGGAAAACTATAAACTTGCTGCAAAGTATGTTATTTGGTTTTAATGAAACTTTGATATACGGTAGTAAATGGCCAGATAAAGTAAACCCAAGTACTTAATGGAAATAAGAAGTTCCTGTTTGTTATGTTAGCTGGGCATATTTTTGCTTCTAGGTGACATTTGTAGTTAAAGTTTAATTTTCTCTGAGCTCTATTAGAAACCTAAATCTTAATTTCTTTTATTTGTATTTACTAGGCTATAGAAAGTAATTTTCAATACCCAGTAATCACAACAAATTACTGTGAAGAATCATGAGAGTATAATATGTAGAACTAGAAAATAAATGGTTATGTGCATTTTGTATTAAAACACAATACTATAAATTACAGCTACCACAAACATCACCATAGGAACAAAATCAGTATATATTTATTCTTCTTTTTTTTTTTAATTGCAAAAAATCTGTTAGTTTGGCCTTACTGTTAAGTGGTATTTCAGCCTAAATGACCATAATTGATTATACTGGTGTGTACATTGTAGTAGCTGATTTTACAAGTCAGTTGTACTTTTGTCATAAGGGAGTTAAAATATTTAGCCTCTATAATGGAGAGATGCAATAATGAACTACATGTAACGTAGCCTTTTCTGAAGCATGGTACATCTGCATATGTATGTGTTGAGAATTTACCCTGAGACCTAATAATCCACTCACTTGGATTCTGCCAGTGCAGTTTTAAAATATGGAGCTGTAGTAAAATATTAACTCCGTCTCTTTGATTTTCCTCAAGATCGCTCAAGCTATTAATTTTCATTTAGATTGTTCCTTTATATGAAAAAAATAACTACTCGGATCGTAATCATTGCTGCTGATAATAGTGATAATTAAATTATTTTCCAATGATAATGATGTATCACATTTTAAATTAATAAATTAATTGCCCATACTCTAATATATATCTAATATATTAATGATCAAATCAAATATTGTGTAGTCTAAATATACTCTTGCACTGGAAGATGGGCCCTATAGAAAACAGCCCTTTTAATCTGCGGTTTCTGTGGACAATGGATGGTTAGGGATTGTGTCTCTCATTTGAGTGGGACAGTAAGAAGCAGTAAGGCATGGTGAAAGAAGGAAAGACAAAATCTGGCCCTTCTGAAATTTATTCTTGTCAGTAGTAATTTTAACAGGCTTTCCTTGTTGGTTTTTCCCCCCACCTTTTTTCTTTCCTTTTTTTCCCCCTGTATGAAGCAGAACATGCTATAACAAGATAATCTGACTGGATTGTGACTTGTTAATGGCTTCCCTGGGTTTGTTGCATTGCTTTGTGATTGTTTAAGAACACAAAGCTTATAACCGTCTTCACTATGCTCGTGAAGGAATTGGGGTTTTCCCATAAGAATGTCTATATACTCTATGGGGTCCCGAAAAATTTTTTTATAGAGGATGCCTGGTTAAAAAGCTGAAAGACAACATAATATCGTGCAATAGGGAGAAAGCAGAAGAGGGAAAAGACATTGCCAATTTGCTAGGTTCCTACAGGCTGCCTGTTAAATAAAACTCCTAACAGTCACTGAAGTGAACTGTACTAAAAAATAAGTAAATCCATTTGACTGGATTGTGACTTGTTAATGGCTTCCCTGGGTTTGTTGCATTGCTTTGTGATTGTTTAAGAACACAAAGCTTAAAACCATTTTCACCATGCTCGTGAAGGAATTGGGGTTTTCCCATAAGAATGTCTATATACTCTATGGGGTCCCAGAAAATTTTTTTATAGAGGATGCCTGGTTAAAAAGCTGAAAGACAACATAATGTCGTGCAACAGGGAGAAAGCAGAAGAGGGAAAAGACATTGCCAATTTGCTAGGTTCCTACAGGCTGGCTGTTCCTAACAGTCACTGAGTGAACTGTACTAAAAAAATAAGTAAATCCGTGAACTGAAGCCATGCCCTGCCTTTTCACGTTCTAAAGTTTGATGAAATCTAAAATAACAATTCTTTGGTGGTAACCAAGTGACTTATGTCGCCTGCTCAGCATTCCAGAGAGTGCAGTGAGGTACAGAGCAATTCTGTATGACACAAATTAGAAGTGGGCAAATTCTGTTCATTGGCATTCACTGTTAAATACTACACTTATTCTGCATGTATCTTGTTAAAATACTACTAAAATTAGTCCTCCTCTCTCCACTTGTAGGGAGAGCTTTATTTTCTTAGTCCTTTTCCTAATGTTAGAATGGGCAGTATATGTAGATATAACAAGTGGTTTGTGCTTATGGTCACTACTTCATTTTTCAACCTTTTTATTTCAAATAACTTCGAAAGTTTTCATTGATACTAAAAGTTTAGCACTTCTGTGATATTCATTTGACTTGTTTTGAATAATGTACGAATTAAACTAGTACTGTTTCTGGAATAATGGGTGAAATTGAGCATTTCTGCTGTATGTACCATGAGTTACAGACTTCGTGTCAAGCCTGATCATAGTACTCTATAGTAAATCCATTTACTGTAGTGACTGTTAATGACTTTTTTCCTTGTTCATACACTCAATAACTGTAGTCAGTACCCTTGCTATGATATGGAAAATATCCCAGCAGGAGCCAAAATTACTGGAAGGACAATTTGAGTTTTCAAGTATTGTGAAAGAATTCACCAGCTTACACTGAAAACAGAATGCCTAAGACCACTGAAGAAATGCTAATTTGACTGGTTAGAAACTAAGGATTTTGTGAATAAAGAAAGTCTCGTATTTTGCTCTGTGGATTAGTCAGAAAATTTTAATTGTGAGATACTGTGCTGTGAAGTGTATTTGAAGAAAGCTTTTTATTACATTCGGTATTTCTGAGGTTGGTACTCTTGACAATCATCTTGCAGAAGAGAGATGTTATTTGGGACTTAGGCAGTATGAGGGCCCATATTAAATGACTGTAAACCAATTACCTCCTGCTTTAATGTTGTTTAGCAATTGGAAGAGATTCAGTGTCTAGAAGATAACTGTAATTTTATTTTGGGTATTTTAATATAATATTTACATGATTGCAGGCAAGCAGGTGGGCAAATAGAGTAGATTTCAGGATGTTGGCTACATTTCACTATGACATTTCATTATTTAAAGATTTGCTGTATACAATGAGTATGTATTTTTAATATGTTGTCCAATGTCTGAAGGCATCTTGAGATGTAAAAAATTCCCTGAATGCATATATTAAAGAAATTATTTTACTGCAGTGCTAGTGATAGTTATCAACTTGAAGTTTAAATACACTACTGAGCTTTATTTGAATTATTTCTAAAAACAGACATTGTGTTGTGATAGAAATCAAAACTAATTTTGTGTTGGTTTGCCATGTGACAGTAGTTGAAGTATATCTTAAATGTGCTCCCTTTGTTTTTCTTTTATCTTGAAGGCTACAGTTGAACCCTGATGGATTGGTAAGGGATGTTGTTATTTGTGGCAATATTTTTTGAATGGAAGCATAGATTTTCTTTCCAATATGGAAGAAAAATGTAAAAACGACATCTCTGAAAATTGCTAACTCTTACAGGAGATTAGTTAAGTGTAATTCAGTGTCTTCAGTGATGATTTGTGTCATTCAAGCATTTAATATTCTAGTAATATTTGCTTGTGAGTTGGATAATAGATTGTAATTTTATAATAGTATTAAAATCTGCCTACTTGATGATTTAAGGTAGCCTGAGCCACATATACTTTGCTGTTTTCCTATAGCCAGACTTTTTATGTTGCCTTTGTATTTATATCTGTATTTTGTATATCAGGTTTAAGATTGTGTTAATCACAGAGATTGCTAACTGTGATATTTGTAAGGTCTTTAAACATTTAGGAATTTATTAGATAAATGGAGTGAAAGTTGTGTACAGCTTTTGTCTGAGGTTTGTGTGTTCACAAACTTCAGTTAGGAAGTTTAAATATTTGCAGGTATCTTTCTGTCCTGATTTTGGGAAGCATGCTCACAAATATTCAACCAGCTTACAGCCACAGCAATAGTCAAAATATAAAGCAATCCTGGAAATACTGTTTATTATTACTGTTAGTGCTATCACCAGCAATAAAATCCTCAGCTTATCTCCTATTTCTCTGCCAAAATCTAACCATTCCTGCACGTATTTCTCCACTTGCACAATGGAAAAAAATAAACCACAGACTTCTTGTATTGTGTGCCACATTTAAATGCGTCTGCTTAATTAGGATACGTCTACCATCCTTGCTACTAAATACTATATATACTAGATAATGTACAGTAAAAGCATGAGAGTACGTTTTCTAAAACTGTCTTTATTTCAGTTCAAGTTTTAGGGCTACAGTTAAAGTTTTAGGGCAGCAACTTGCAGTTGGGGAATAAAGTCCCACCTAAATTCAGTGGGAGCAGGGCATGTAACTCACTCCCAAAAAATCCCTTCTTGGTTTTATTGAACCTTGCTGCCCTCAGCTATTTTTATCAAGCTGCTTGCTTGAGAAAAGTTTAAATGGAAAGGCCTGTGGCCTTTGACATACGTCTTAGCTAAAAGAAATGGATATTGGCTTCGCTATGGTTGTAGCAACGTCTTTTACTCTTTGAATGAGCCTTCTGCTTAGTTCTGAAGGGGCAGGTTTTGTATTCAAGATCTTAAGGCAAGTCAGATTTGTGAACGGTGTCATAATGGAGTTGTTTCACAGAACTATCCCGAGACCACGGATTCATTTACCTCTCAGATCTTTTGCTGTTCGTAGGATTTTGAGCAGAATTATAATCTGTACTTTTTATCCCAATACCCATATCCTAAATTAACTCTGTTTCACAATTTCTGATGCACATGCATACACAAAACTATGTGTGTGTCCACAGCTCCTTTGAGCTTTTCACAGAATTACTGCAGGGGCAGTCTTGTCTATTTTCATTTCCCTGCCGTCTTTTTCTCAGCTTTGACTGATACATAGTGGCATTAATTCACTGTGCTCTTCTTCAGGTCTTTCTAACTGTCCCCACTACAAGCAGCAATTCACATATAAATGTACACATATAAAAATAGTAGATTGCATAGGTAATAAATATAGCAAATGCATATATAGTAAATATAAATTATTTGTACAATTAAATATAATGTGCTGGCAGTTATGTGTCTTCTTTCTGGACCTGTGATTTTGGTATACTCCACTGTCATAGAGGTTTTCCTAGTTCTTCAACTCCTGTTGAAGAGGAAAATGAGCTTTATTTATGCATTTATGCAAGGAGCAAATACCCAATTTCTGTGCAAGGCAATTTCAAGCTTCCTTTTCAATTAAACAGTTCATCTGTTAATCTTTCCTGCCAAACCGGTGTTGGTACAGGCAAGGAGAAAAATATATGGAATATATACAGAGTATCTCTTTTATGTTTTTGGCTCAGAATATGTCAGGGTGTCCTATGGCTATGTATAGACTGTGCTTAAAGAGGATAACAGGTTATCAGTATGTTTGTGGTTAATTTTGAAATGGATTGCTTTCCCTTCTGAAAGGAAGTGTAATGTTGAAGAGTACCCGTGGTTTTGTACACCAGCTGGCAGCAAAAAGACCTCAAAAGTACACGTTCTCCACCACAGGGCATACTACCAAAAGTTTCCTACTTGCATAGAGGAGGCATGTGCATATCTGAAAATTAATTCTATGTGTATTCAACATACTCTGATGGGCAAGTAATTGGGAGGAGACTAATACTTCTCTCTTACGTTCTCTGTTACCATATAGCAAAGCAAAAGAGGCTTTCCTAAAAATGCAGAAAGAACGTAATTTCCATCGAATGCATCATAAGCGAGTGATCCAGGAGAAAAACAGGCTTATTTGTGACATTAAAAGGTAAAAAATTGTTTTAATTACTGTATATGTAACATTAAAGGTAATGTCTTCGATTGTTGCCTGGTAATGAGGTAACATTGTGGAATTTAAAGTGCTGAAGTAAAGCTAGTTGCATTTAGTTAGTGTCCTCTTAAATGGAAGTTCCACCTGACCATTCTGCCATGTGTTTTAAACAATTTCTAATTATTTTTTTTATTAAATATTTTCCATGGTGTGATGTGGCATTAATAAACCATAGTATATTTGATAGTTGAAAATAAAAATGAGATTTTCTTTTATCCAAATCTTTTTCCATAAGTATGTAGTGATTTCTGGATTTAGATCCTCTATCCATTTTAAGGGTAGCTGGTGTCACACTGGGTGGGGAACCTTTGCAATTTGTGATTCCCATAGCTGGTATTTTCTGTCCTTTTACATCTTGAACTTCCTATATGAAATTTGCTAGGTTGTAAGTAAGCAACTAGTTGCAAGGAACAACTAGTTCATTGGTACTGAGTTGTAATAGTTTATTTTATAATATTTAATTCCGTAATTTAATGCTATTAACTGTTGTGCTGCTTTCCCTCCATAAGCAGAACTTTTGTGTTTTCCATCTGAAGATCACTGGGCCAGGTGAAAGAGTTGAAATTACAATCTTTTCTTTGCACACGTTCATGCCAGCACTTCTTTAAAAAAAAAAAACATAGGGGAGCAGCTTACATCTAAACAAGTCACAGAAAGTGAGCACTATTCACTGACTTATCCTCTGTGTGTCAGCTTTTTGAAAAAGGCAGCATTTTTTGGAGCTTAGAGTCCCTTGTTTCTCTTAAGAGATTATATATCTAACTTTCAGTTGTTATGAAGAATCAAAGTGGTTAAGTATTCTAAATGTAATGTGCAGTGAAGAAAGAAATAGTAATCGTATTATGACTGTTTTGTCTAGATTAGGATGTTAGCTGGTAGGTAGATAATAGCTGTAATTCTCTTTTTTTCCAATGAAATGTCGTCCATCTGCAAGAAAACAGAAATTAACAAAAAATAATGTGCAATACATGTATCAAGGATTAAGAACAGGTCAAAACTGGATGGATTGTTTTAAAAGATATGACTAAAAAAAACTATGAAACCTCTTATTGATCCGACTTCTTGTTTTTATGGTTTTTCTTGCAGTATTCCAGTTGCCTCCTTTATGTTGACCTTTTGGCACTTTTTTACTCTGGGAGGAAAGAAGTTACAGAGACATAAATCTCTCATTAAACTCATCTTTGAGGAATCATTTGTCCTGTTCTTTTTCACAGGCTGAAAGCACATTATGCATCGTATGAACCAGTGCTGAAGCAGTTGACTGAAAAATACCAGACTACACTGAGACAGAAGATGTTAACTAGTTTGGAGAGAGACAAAGCAGTTGGGCAGGTAAAACTATGGTGAACATCACTTGCAAAGCTATAAGGAATGCTTTTGGTGTTTACTTTGGTAAATACATAGGATATTTCTGTTAAAGCAACTCACTTATGTAATAGTTTGAAGCAGAATGTTTTAGTGAATTTTGTGTTATTTGATGAAATGTTAATATTGAAAGTATATGAACCTTCATGCCACTAAGTAATAGTTCTCAGCCTGTATTTGCTCAGTGCAGACCCTGTTATGCTTTCAGTCTCAAGAACTTCAGGGAAGGTGTGGTATTCCCACAGATTAATATGCTTCCTTCTATGTCTTTAGAAATCTCTTAACTCTGTTTATTATTATTTACTATTTTATTTTTCCTAAATATATCCAGAAATGACCTACTAGTATAGGAAAAAATACATTATCAGACACAGTTTTTCTGCCTTGTGACTGGAATAATAGAGTAGTATTTTATTCCTATAATCTTATCTGATGTATAAATTGGTATACATCATATTCTTCCTTTTAGTAGGAACTACTATAAGCACAGATAGGATGGATGAAGAACAGAGTATTATCTTGCATGTGTTTTACCAATTTGTTTGTTCAAAACAGAGGAGGAAGGGGAAAAAAAAACAAGAGAGACAGGGGCTCCCAAAATGCATTGCATTTCAGCAGTAGCATCAATTAGATGTGGGTAACATGAAAGGAATTTACCATGCTTGCACTGTCTTCTAATAATCCTCATTTCTTGTTTTCTCCATTCCTCTGCCTCCCATTTTTCTCAGGTCACCTGAGAGCTGAATTTTAATAATCTGAGGATTATATGTTTTAATTTTCAATAAGTAAAAAGAAAATGTCCTGAAGAAAAAGAAAGGTTAACGTCTATATACAATTATGCTCAATCAGGAGTAAAAAGCATGGAACAGTTCCGATGCTATGAAATTTCAGGAACATGCAGAAGACCTATCTGGTTATGAACTTTATGTGTTCTGGAGTGATGGCTTTTTTTGTAACACGTAACACCATATTTTGTGGCATTTTCTTATGACAAATCTATATGTCATATTGTGCCATTAAGTTAATATCAGTGAAGTGATAGCAGTGGTTAAAAGTTGATGATCCCTAGTATTCTTAAAACAATGCAGACTGATTATGTCTGCATTGTTTTAAGGGAGCTGTAAAAATAGTTTGAGATACTCTGTATGGCTTGTACTTTATTGCATTGTTTCACTGGGCCTTTCAAAAATCTCAAATTAGGCATAATTTTTATAATTTAGAGGCAATAATCAGAAAAGTAAAATATTATAGATGGAATTTATTACATAAATAGGCAGATGTAAATGCTGTGTGTTGTGAACAGACAGTTCAAAAGCAATGTTTTCATATTGTCCCTTGCTGTTCTCTCCTCTTTTTAAAATTAGGTTACAGGTTTGCAAGACACATTACAAAATTTAGAGTCTGGACGTGCTGTTCGGATTCCTGCAACAAAAGGTAAACTATTCCCATCACCCAGCTCAGACTGGTTATGGGTTTTTTGTTGATGTGATGCATTTCAAACTCTGGTGTAAGACTAAATCAAAAATACTTACACTATAAACATTTTATCAGCTGTCATGGTGACAGAGCAGCAATTTTATCATTTGAATATTTTTTCTAAGATGTATCCACTAAGGACAGCAAGACTGCTCGTGGCAATATGGAATATGTGAGTAATTGTAGAAGGACTTTGCAGACCCCTGAGGAATGGCCACTTGTCGGTGATCTCCACTTGGACATTAAAGCAAGTGGAGACCAGTGACGAGTGGCATTTCTCAGGGTTTGGTGTTGGGACTGATACTGTTTAACATCGTTTTTGGAGACACGGACAGTGGGGTTGAGTGCACCTTCAGCAACTTTTCTGATGACTCCAAGCTGTGTGGTGCATTTGACACGCTGGAGGGAAGGGATGCCATCTAGAGGGCCCTGGACAGGCTTGAGAGGTGGGGCCATGCAAACCTCATGAAGTTCAGCCAGGCCAAAAGCAAGGTCCTGCATGTGGGTCGGGGGAATCCTAAGCACAAATATAGGCTGATTGGAGAAGGGATTGAGAGCAGCCCTGAGGAGAAGGAGTTGGGGGTGTTGAAGGATGTTAATATGGCGGCATACTGAAGTACTGGCAGCATCCTCTTCAGTGTTCACAGTGTCTTTCTGGTTTTGGATTCTGATGCCCTTTTTTTGGTATGAATTAGTATCCCACTCCTCAGCAAGGCATGTTTCAGCTCCCTGAAGAAATTATTTTCTGTGAGGGTGGTAAGGCACTGGAACAGGTTGCCCAGGGAAGCTGTGGCTGCCCCATCCCTGGAGGGGTTCAAGGCCAGGCTGGATGGGGCTTGGAGCAACCTGGTCTGGTGGGAGGTGTCCCTGCCCAGGGCAGGGGAGTTGGAACTGGATGATCTTTAAGGTCCCTTCCAGCTCAAACCATTCTGTGATTCAATGATCTGCTCTGCTGTAGTCTTTAAACCTTGTTACAAGTGAAAGTATTAAACCTCTGCCTCACTAAAGAGCATAGCACTCATTTCATCCCACTTCAGATAGGGATGTAGAGAACAGGGGTTTTATTTTATGTTAGTTTAGGGCATATAGCATTCAACTCTTCATTATACTCCAGCTTGGGGGAGATAGTGTGTGGATTCTTCCTCCATGCCAGTGTTTTACTGTATAGATGCCCCATATGTCTCTTTGTATTTCACATAGTTTCATTTGTTGTTTGAGTGATTCTAAAAAACGCTCTCTGGCTGTTCATGGTACTTGTTTATTCTCAAAAAGTCTTGAGAGCAATTTATAATACCAAACAATTGACAAGCAGGGGAGCACTTATAAATAAATAATAATAATTTTTTTTAAAAAATCACTTAGTCTCTAGCACAAATTATTAAGCTCATCAGCCACCCACATGCTTGTACAAGCCTTAATTTGCTTCATACCCTGTGTATCATAAATTAAGTGCTATTTCAGTTCATTTCTTTCCAATGCTTTGCCCTCTAATCCTACATAATTTTTATTGCCCTTTGTAGGTCATATTCATGTCTTAGTGGGTGATACTCTCATTCAGATACTTTCTGCTGCCTCGTGAAAGATGGTCACGTTCTGTTGCCTCTTGAATTCTTATTCCTGTGCCCATACAAATGCAACATTGAAAAGCAAGCAGTGTGTGCATACCTGAAAAACGTTTGCTGCATTTCTTTTTAATATTAAGTTCTTAGTTTGGAAGGAACCAGTGTTGTTGGACTTGCAAATCTCTCCTGTAAGGAGGGCTACAGCTGCATTTTTTCAGTTGCCGTCTCTTTAGGACTGACTCTTATCCACTAGTACATTGGTACATTGTAATTCAAAGATATTGAACATTCTGATTGGCAAGTTATCATTTGCCAAGTTAAGGTGCCTACAGTGCAGTGCATGAAGGTTCCCAGCAGCAGGAGATGGCCCATCACTGCTGCTGGTGCTGCTTCTGTCCCACAACCTGACTTGACCACAGAATACCTGGAATGCTGGCTTTGGCTGGAGGGCACTGAGAGTGGCTTTTAATTAGTGTTGGGCTTGCTCAAGTGTTTGAGGTTCTATAGTGGCAATGAGGTCCTGCACATCCAATTCATTATGGGTTTTGTTTTCCTTTTGGCTTTGGTTTGAGGGGGTTTTTTTCTTTTTTTTTTTTTCTGAGGGTATCTCATAGTGCATCGTGAAGAATAAAGGGAAGCGTCATAGTCCTCACAATGAGTTAACATTTTAAATTTGTGTGTGGTGGCTAGGTAGGAAAAAAAATAATAGTTAATGTTAATTTTGGGACAACTATTCTATTACTTAGGCCTTTGATGTAGCAGCTTTCAGCCTGATACATTTCAAAAAATGGAAAAGATAGCATGTAATTTATTTATTAGGGTTTTTTTGCTATTCCACTTCCAGGCTGCTGTTTAGCTTTGCAAATAGTGTTTTGTACACAAATCCTGTAAGAGAAAGTTTTCTTCGGGTGTCTTAATTATTAGATGTCTAAGTTTTTATTTGCTATTTATTTACTTTGCTTGTTTAAAGTTGGTATGAAAGACATTTAATAGTTGGAGAGGAACTAATTAACAGAGTTAGGACTCGGACATCCAGGCTGCTGTTTAGCTTTGCAAATAGTGTTTTGTACACAAATCCTGTAAGAGAAAGTTTTTTCTTCGGGTGTCTTAATTATTAGATGTCTAAGTTTTTATTTGCTATTTATTTACTTTGCTTGTTTAAAGTTGGTATGAAAGACATTTAATAGTTGGAGAGGAACTAGTTAACAGAATTTACTTTGCTTGTTTAAAGTTGGTATGAAAGACATTTAATAGTTGGAGAGGAACTAATTAACAGAGTTAGGACTCGGTCCTCTTGTAGACTGTTTCTCTGTCCCTGCTATGCTCTCTCAGAAGGCAGCTCTGAAATAAAAGAAGTTGTACTTTGAGTTCAGATCATCTTTAAAAAGGATTCAATGTTTTGTGTAGGATTTGCATTTAAAACTGGGTTGGTTTTTTTTGGTTTGTTTTAAAACTGGTCCTCCCTGATGTGGTAGCAAGGTCATACATACAGGGGTGTAATTATCAGAGAGAAACAACTGATTTTTTTTATTTAGGTTATTGGTGAATATTTACAGAGTGCTTGCACCCTTACTTACAGATCAAGACACAGTGTTAAGTGGTGCCCTGAAAAAAGACCACTTTGCCTGAAGGAATTAAGCAGTGTTGATCGTGGCTTGCTTATAAACTGAAGTGAATGCTGCTATAACAGCTGGTTCTAAAAACATGTTATAAAACCATTACTTGCTCAGTACATTTTGTGTATTTTCTAAAAACAACAGCTGCTTATTTATTACCCAATTATATTCAAAAGTTGAACTCAATGAGTTTCTTATACTCATGGTTGAATTAACTCATTACTAAGACTCTTAACTGTGCTTTTCCTTTCCTTGATCTGATGTAATTGCTATTAGAAGGTCATACAAAAAGAAATTTAAAATGCCCCAGTTACTTGAACCTGTTGTCCCTATTCCATCCTCAATGCAATCAGAATGGAAAAATCTGTAAATACAAGCTGTTGACATCATCGTGCAATCGTAAAAGTTCCCTAGAATTTGTTCATTCTTTTTTTTAATGGTTACTGAGTTTTTAAACCCTTCAGTTGTCAGAGTTCCCTAGAATTTGTTCATTCTTTTTTTTTAATGGTTACTAAGTTTTTAAGCCCTTCAGTTGTCATAACTGTTAGTTTATAAGTATGTGTATTTCAAAAGCACCAACAAAGCAAATACTCTGTGAGCAACAGGCTACTGGGTAGCAGTTACTGAGCGAGTAGAAAGTGTTTGACATATAAACCAATTTTGCTGTATACCATTCCTCAGAGAAAGTTACTATTCAGGATAGCTGTGACAGTGGCTTTAACTTTTAAAGCAGTGAGAACACAGACATTTTGTTACACCAGGCACAGTTACATCACACACAGTTCTTTTTGTCAGTTACAGTTTTAGTCAGGTCGGGTGTACAGGAAGGTTTTGTTTTTACTTGATGCAATGGTTTTGACTCAAGGAGTGGAGAGGGTGGGTTTTTTCCCTTTTCAATTGCATTTTGGTGTCAAGGTTTTAATAAAAGTATTTTACAGGAGCAAACATTTAGAATGCATAGAAAAAAGTATATTTATTTCAGTCTGTTTTTTAGCTGTATAATATGATTGTTATTTTCAATTGGAGACTTTTTTCGAAGAACTGCAGGGATTTAAGTGCCCAAATCATGTTGGAATTTGCATTCCTTTTTTTTTTTTTTTTCCTATAGACTGATGTACATAGTAGAGAGCATTGCATACAGGGATCACAAGGGGCTGTATTCAGATATGTGTGAGCTGCCAGTACAAAGACTGTCAGTATACTTTCTGCCAGGTCATGGCAGATGCATTGTGCGACAGTCCACCTGTGTTATACTGTTCTTCGTATTCCTTTCTGCCTATTCTGATGATTTCCAGCTATGCTACTGGTTTAGGATTTCTTTGCTGAGTTGTTTATTTATAAGTAATTCATTGTTTGAAAGGCAGGTTGGGAGAAAGTGCAGGGAAGCACTTTGAAAGTGGTGAGACACTGGAACAGGTTATCCAGGGAAGTTGTGGGGGTTGGAATTAGATGATTTTTAAGATCCCCTCCAACCCAAACCATTTTATGAGAAGCGAAGGCAGATTGTAAATCTGAATAATGCATTGGTGGTAGATACTGGATGCAGCGAGATGGTGTTTCTTGTGGCCCTGAGGGAAATGAAGAATTGCATCCATTTTACTGTGACTCTGTCCTGTACTGCAAGATTCAAAATCATTGCTGCATTTTGGGGGCAAAATCTAGGGTACTGTAAGGTAAGCTGAAATAGGTCACACTGAAATAATTTGTGGAGCAGAGTTATATGTAGTCTTGGAATATTTTATATGGATGGCACAGTAACCTGAGTATCTTTTTATTTCAAGTGCTATTTCTTTTAGAATTTCACATATCTAGCTAATACCAAGTATAAGAGATATATAAGATATATAATGTATAAGAAATACCTTCTAGAAGAGTAAGTAAAAATTCATTTGGATGATATTTCTGTTGGTTTTCTTTTATAGCAGGCCACGAATGTCAGAGGAAGAAAGGGTTGGAAGGTCCCACTCAGAAAGCTCTTCAGGCAGCCAGGCAGCAAAGACTCCTTGATGCTGAAAGCTCTTCATATGATCCAGTCAAAGATGCAAAGAAGATAGGCAAGAGATATCCGAAGGTATGCAGCATTCTTTGCAGTACCTCAGTATCTAATCCAAAGTATACTTCAAATTTTTACTAAGCTGTGGTGAAAACGACTTGTCTAACATGACTGAAAGAAGTCTGTCGTGAAGTGACAAATGCTTAGTAAAAGTAAATAGGACAGGTCAGTAAGAAGATTTCTATTTTTAATGTGAGTTTCTATCACAGCTAATTTTTCAGGGAGTAACAGGAACTTTGATTAGTTGAAGCTAGCAAGCTACTTTTTGAGAGTCTGATGTAATCAGAGGAAGAACACTGTTTATAAATGCTTGTTCCTCTGTTACGTCTCTTGTAACTGGAGAAATCCTGACATAGTGTTTGCAAACTTCTCAAGAATTTCAACCTGTCTGTTTCAGCTGGGTCTAAAAGGTATAACATCTGGGAGACTAAGGGCAAAAGATTGGTGATTTCTTAGTAGTCAATGGAAGTTTCTAAAGAGCATCCAAAAGGTGTGTTGCTATTTCAGTTGGGAAGTTGTGCAAAATCAAAATGAATTCCTGATTGATTTATTTTGTTTTTAATTGTTGAAAGAAACTTGTTCTCTTTACTTTATTGTACTTGGTTTACTTATTAAGGTTGCATTTGGGGACTATATAACAGTGCTTTTTATTTTTCCAAATAAAGGTAAGCATTCTAATATTTAAAACTTCTTAAGCTGTTAAAACTTTTACACTGGCCAATTTTTGTTTGAGAACCACAATTAGGGTTTAAACTGTGTGTTTTGAGAAGAAAAAAAAGCTTTAGTTTGCCTTGATGTAGATGGAATCAGCTTCAGTATTTCGTTTCCCTGTCTCTGCAAGAATATGTCCATGGTGATTTACTTTTTTGTATGTTTCTCTCTGGTTTTGAAAGGGCATTCCTGTCTGACGCTGGCTGTTTTCATCCCTTCTTATTCTCCTGAACCTCCAAATGAATAATATATATATATACATAAATATATATCTATTTTGTTGCTTTCTAAAACACTTCTCACCACATATTGGAAATAATTCTCTGTACTGTCTCCCCACCTATTGGTATCTGACCTATTATTGGGGTACCTGCCAGTTGGTCTGTCCACTTTCCCTGTTGTTCATTCAGTGGTTAGAAATTTCTGTGTTAGAATTTTACAGGTATCTCTTTTTTTATTTTGACTTGTTTGCAGTTAAGTATTTCTTGGCTTATGAAACCTTATTTTTTGTTCCTGTTTCTACTGAAGTCATCAGGATTTTTATAGTGAACTTCAGTGGAGTCACGTTTTACCCCCAGAATGTATAAACTCAATGCAGGTAGTGTGCCTGTCTGGCTCTTCCTTGTTCTTTGAAATTCATGAGCACCGCTAGTTGACTGGTTCTGGCAAGCATTTGTGTTTCTGCAGATCTTATGTTTCCCAAATGAGTCCTACCAGCGGCCCTGATGTCTTTATTTAATCAATGGATTAGAAAACTGGAGTAGCTCCAGAAAATAAGACATCAGAAAATGTGGGCATGTTTGAATACACTAGTTTTTACTATGGCTAAGGAATAATCTAAAACTTTAGGTGTGAGACCAACATCTTTTTCAACAATGGAACAATACATTTTTTTTTTCGCTTCAAATTTCCTGCATTTGTTCTTTCCAAATATTTCCTTTCTCCTAACCAAAGGTGCTTCCTTGGATACTGCATGTAAATTGTCTTATTTCTTAGGCTGTTAGAAATAAATGGCTGAGGGAATGATGAGTGTGTAGAGGGCGAAGGGGTATGTTAAAATTGTTCTAATCTAAGTTTGTTTGCTTGTTTTATAAAATAGTCCATTCTTGCTCAACAGCTTGGATGGGGCCAACTCAAGACCAGGCTGTGTGGGGCTTTGAGCAACCTGGTCTGGTGGGAGGTGTCCCTGCCCATGGCAGGGAGGTTGGAACTTGATGATCTTTAAGGTCCCTTCCAACTCTAACCATTCTATGATTCTATGAACAATTTAGTTGTCTGAGTATTTGTTCCAGTCAAAAGAATTAGGTATAAATGAGTGCCTTGCTTTCCTTAGATCATTTTCTGTGATAATTGGAATCAAACTTCTGTGTGGTGCCTCGTATCCTTTAACCTATATCAAAAGATCGTTTAAATTCTGTCATCTCTTATTGTGACTTGGGTTCTAATAATGATTCAACATGGCAATGCCTTTATTGAAGAGCGTACCATAAATAGTCTTGTTCTCATTTACAATAATTGGAATAACAATTTAAATGTTTTATTTGGGATTTTTTAAAGTGACTTACACATTATTCAGATTAAGATTACACTTTATTTAAATTCGCTTCCGTGGAGTTCAGGAGGAATGTGTAGAAGAAATAAATGCAAATAAAAATCCCATATTCAAACAGTGCATTTATGAAAAAACAGAGAAAAAGAAACCAGAAAATGTGAGAAATCTGGGTAAAATTCACTGTCAAATACTGTTTATCTCCTTTCAGCAAATGCAAGTGAACATTTAAAACTTATAAAAGTTCAGAGTGAACGTTTTTTTTTTATTGCATCACGTTCAATAAGAAGCAAATATATTGTCATGAAATTGTATCCTTGAAACGAAATTATAAATGTTTATATTAACTGTGATGTGACATAGGAGTGAACTATGGTGATGAAAATGATTTAAAATCTTTTCTGTTTCTTGTAGCTAAATAGTGATCTAACAAATGCCTGTGCTTACTTTTAAGTAGGTGCAAATATGAGTCATAGCTGAGCTAGAACATTTACTTCAAGGACAGACATATATTGTGTTATTGTAATATCCTGTAAAAGCTGACACGTAATTTAAAACCTAAGGTCCCTTTGATCTGAAGTTTATCACCGAAACAGTGAAAAAGCAACTGGAATTTTTCTGAGAGAATGTATTCTCCTGATTTTTTTAAATCTTTGTTACAAGACTCCATGAAATTTTACAGTAGCAGGCAATTAGGCTAAACTGTTTACACATCTAGCCCTTAATAAGCCAGTATCAATAGCTTAAATATTCTTAGATTAAAAATGTGCACAGAGTACTGCTTTAAACATTTAAATTAATTGAAATGCACACAGAGGTCATTAGAATTGTAGACAGCCTATGATAATGTGATTTTCATTATCCTGTTGAAATATACTTTTCCTATTTTTATATTTTTATTCTCTTAGGTTCCTCACAGAGTACATTCTATGTTTGATTGCTTTTATTAGTTATTAGCAGGACGAGTGCAGCTTCTTTACATTCAGTCAGTTCTATTTCCACATACAATGTATTACAACGCTATTTAATTTTCTAAAGTCTCATTTGGTGTGAAACTTTATCAGAAGGTGCATTGGACACTTCTGGAGTTGACGTTTCTATGGAACAGATTTTGAAAGTATCACGAATGGTATATTAAAGAAATATAAAAGTAAAATCTAACGATCATACAAACATTAATAGCTTCTGTAATTAATAAGACCTTGAGTTGTCACATGTATACCATGCATAAACCCCAAGTTTCTCCTCGGTTCTATGGAAGGAAGTGTGCAAATTTAGAAGAGCTGCTGGTTCTGTGCTCTCAAACAGAAGGGAAGCTAAAATCAAATGATTACTTAATCAGATTATTGAGCTTGAATATAAATGAGCACAGGAGTATTTGGACAGAATTGGAAAGATGAGGTCCCAAAATAGTTAGGAAGGGTCGTAAATGAAATAAGGCAATCATTCTGTGTTTGTAGTGAGGTTACTAAGAAAGCACTGATTAGATATTCAGTAAAGAGAAGATGACTGACAGATAATACTGGGAATACTTATTTCTACGGTTCTTCACTAGCATGGTAAAACTCCAGACAGATAGCTAAGCAAATTAATACCAGTTAGAAAGATATAAGACTGCAGTCTAGAGAAGGGAAAGGAAAATATGATGTCTGTATTTCACATGAGATGAAGCCTGGATGGACGGAAACTTTCCTAAATTAATGGGAAACAGATTGGAAATTCACAGATATATTGAATAGGCTTTTGCTAGGGTATGTCATCATTCATGATCTGAAAAATGGAACAGGAAATACGCTGACTAAATTTGCAGACCCAGTGAACTGGGTTTGGTGGGGGTGGAACTGCAAGCGCAGTTGAGGACAGGAGAACAATTCAAATCTTGACCTATTGGAGAATTGATCTGAAGAAATAATATGCAATGTAAGAACAGGTACAGCTCTCTACCTTTGAGAAATGATCAAATGTACAAATGCAGAACAAGAAGATAAAAAACGATTGCTCAAATAGCTTTTATTTAGAATAGGCTTGAGGGTTTGTTGTATAAAACAAGCTTGGCATGAGTCAACAAGGACATGGTATTGCAGAATAGCTGAACACCATACTGCAGTGGAAACCAGGAATATTGTATGGAAGCTGTGGAATATTCTTGCTTTGTTTGGTTGGCATGTAGCTTTGGCTGCACTGTTGTGTTCAATTTGATCACAGCTCTTCAGGAGACAAGGGGAGCATCTACAATAGAGCAATAAGAATGCCAAGAAGACTATGAAACATAACTGTCAAAGAAAAGGTGAAAAGTGAAATGGCATGGTTTACAGAAAAGATCTCTGAGAGGAGAGAGGGTATATCCTTGAAAGCTAAAAGAATTCTGTTTAAAAAAAAACAAAAAACAACAGGAAAACAATCTGTTAAAACAAAAAGTAATAAAGTAGAAATCCAATAAGAAAGATTCAGATTGTATTAAACAAAATTTATGATAGTAAGTATGGTGAAGCACTGGAATAGATTGTTTAGGGAGTTTGTGTTACTGGAATGGGACAGACCGAATTTTTTGAGGAATAATTCCCAAGTTGTCCCCTTGGGAAAGGAGAAGTACTGATGGACCAGCAGAGGATGTGTTTAGCTGTCATTATTAGTTTGATTTTTCTCCAAAAAGTTGTACTTAAGGGAAGAAACTTTCTGCCTTGCCCTAAAATAGCAGGCCACTTCTAACTTTCCATTAAAGAATAGTAATATGAAAATAAGTTTTTATAATTCCTGT